TCCCCTTGCTGTTTTTAATAATTTTTCTTTGTCTTTAATTCTTGCCAATTTGATTACTGTGTCTCGGCGTGTTTCTCCTTGGGTTTATCCTGTATGGGACTCTCTGCGCTTCCTGGACTTGGGTGGCTATTTCCTTTCCCATGTTAGGGAAGTTTTCAACTATAATCCCCTCAAATATTTTCTCTTGTCCTTTCTCTCTCTCTTCTCCTTCTGGGACCCCTATAATGCGAATGTTGTTGCATTTAATGTTGTCCCAGAGGTCTCTTTGGCTGTCTTCATTTCTTTTCATTCTTTTTTCTTTATTCTGTTCTGCAGCAGTGAATTCCACCATTCTGTCTTCCAGGTCACTTATCCGTTCTTCTCCCTCAGTTACTCTGCTATTGATTCCTTCTAGTGTAGTTTTCATTTCAGTTATTGTATTGCTCATCTCTGTTTTTTCTTTAATTCTTCTAGGTCTTTGTTAAACATTTTTTGTATCTTCTCGATATTTGCCTCCATTGTTTTTCCAAGGTCCTGGATCACCTTCACTATCATTATTCTGAATTCTTTTTCTGGAAGGTTGCCTATCTCCACTTCATTTAGTTGGTTTTCTGGGGGGTTATCTTGCTCCTTCATCTGATACATAGTCCTCTGCCTTTTCATCTTGTCTACCTTTCTGTGAATGTGGTTTTTGTTCCACAGGCTTCAGGATTGTAGTTCTTCTCTCTTCTGCTGTCTGCCCTTGGTGGATGAGGCTATCTACTTGGCTTTTTTTTTTTGCGGTACGTGGGCCTCTCACTGTTGTGGCCTCTCCCGTTGCGGAGCCTCTCCCGTGTCTCTCCAGACATGCGGGCTCAGCGGCGATAGCTCACGGGCCTAGCTGCTCCACGGCATGTGGGATCTTCCCGGACCAGAGCACAAACCCGTGTCCCCTGCATCGGCAGGCAGACTCTCAACCACTGCGCCACCAGGGAAGCCCTAGGCTTTTTTTTTTAATTAAACTTTTTAAAAATGTTTGAGGTCATTGTAGATTCACATGCAATTGTAAGAAATAATACAGAGATCTTGTATGCCCTTTATCCAGTTTTCCCAAAATGTAACATCTTGTAAAGCTATAGTACAACAAGTGTATTGACCTTGATATAATCAAGATGCAGAACCTTTTCATCACCATAAGGGGTCCCTCTTGTTGCCCTTTTACAGCCATATCTACTGCCTCCCCTTCAACATCCCAGGTGCTGGCAACTGCTAATCTGTTCTCCATTGCTATAATTTTGTCATCTTAAGAATGTTGTATAGATGGGGTCGTACAGTATGCAGCCCTTTGGAGTTACATTTTTTTCACTCAGAATAATTCCCCTTAAGATTCATCCAAGTTGTTTCATGCATCAGTAGTTTGTCCCTCCTTTGACTTAAAAGAAATTTTTTTAATTGTGGTAAAGTCCAAAAAAATAACAGAAAATTGACCATTTAAATTTAAATGTAGAGTTTGGTGGTATTAAGTCCATTGACATCGTTGTGCTACCTCACCGTCATCCATCCATAGAAACCTTTGCATCTTGCAGAACTGAAACTGCCCGTTAAATAGCAACTCCCCAATTTCCCCTCCTTCAGCCCCTGGCAGCCACCCTTCCACTTTCGTTTCTATGAATTTGACTACTCTTGGTACCTCATAAAGTGGAATCATACAGTGTTTGTCTTTTTGTGACTAGCTTATTTCACTTAGCATATATCCTCAGGGTTCAGACATGTTGTAGCATGTGTCAGAAGTCCTTCCTTTTTAAGAATGAATAATATTCCAATGTATGCTTGTACCACATTTTGTTTATCCGTTCATCTGGACGCTTGGTTGCTTCCACCTTTTTGCTATTGTGAGTAATGCTGCCGTGAACATGAGTTTGCAAAACTCTCTTGGTGATTTCTTTTGGGTATGTACCCAGGAGGGGAATTGCTACATTATATGGTAATTCTATGTTTAATTTTTTGAAGAACAGCCATACTGTGTTCCATAGCAGCTGCACCATTTTATCTTTCCACCAGCACTGTACAAGGGTTCAAGTTTCTCTACATCCTTGACAACACTTGTTTCCTCTTTTTTCTTTCTTTTTTTTTTTTTTTTTTTGATAGTAGCCATCCTAATGTGTGTGAGGTGGTCCTCCCTTGACTTTTAAAAGACACATTTTTAAATATGATCTGTGACTACCTAATATATCACTTGTCTCTAGTAGCTTCATTATCAAGATTTAAATTTAGTAACTCCATGAAGGAACATGGCCATTATTCTCATATTAAAGTTCAGTTTTCTTTAGTTCTTTCATTGATCCTAGTGGTCGTACCTCTAGCGCCAGTGTAGTTCTGAGCACCCAGGCTTGTATAACCCTATAGCCCAGAACAAGGCTCACTCCCATTCTGACAAAAGATATTTGTGCCTGTATGTAATTATAACCTGTTGTCCAAAAGTTCAGCCTTTAGGCTTCTTGACACTAGAATTTGAGGTTTGGTCAGGGGTAAAGAATTACTTAGATCTCCACAGGCATGTACTTTTTACCCTAAAAAAAAAAAATCTCTAGGAACAATTATGGAATACAAACACAAGGGTAGTGATTATATGGTCAGGTAATAAAGAGGATTTCAGATCCAGTGTGAATACATTTGGTCCAATTATAAGGTACTTCAGTAGTCCTCAAACTTTGTGGTGAAATGGAAGGATTTGCAGGATGTATTTTATTTTCCCATCCATAATTATGGGAAGATGAAATTTAAAAGTCCAAAAGTAAAGATAAAATCTGCTATTAGATTGGGAAGAGGAACAAATGGCATGTACTAGCATTTGCTAGAATTCTGGGTTTCAAATTGGTCTGTTCCTAACGGGTCTTTTATCTCCAGTGGTGTTTCTACAGAGCATGTTGTGACAGTGGTTGCTGACCCAGTTACGTGTGGTGATGCATGGCACGACTATGCACACAGATACCATAACCCAAAATAGCCAACGCAGCAGAGATGAGAGTGGCTGTCAGTAGATGGGAGAGTATTGCTTGGGCTTTGTTGTCCTAATGTTACACTTGCTAGTAATGTAATGGAGTGTTAATATTAGCTTGGAGTGGTAGAGTATGCCTTATGGTGCTAGAAACGCAGATTGTTAACTTAACACACAGACTGTAGACACACAGTATGAATGTAAATTGTTGAAAGGAAGTTAGATGTTCATGTTGCAGTTTGGGCAGGTAAGGAATAGGACTTGCCCCGTGAACTACTTTTCCAGTACTATCTGGGATGACAATAAGGGAACATAATTGTGGCCTTCATGGGGCGACGATAGATAAAGAGTACGCAAGGGCTTTGGAACCAAAAAGAACTGGATTCGTTTTCTGGCTTTACCAGTTACTGTGACTTTGGGTGAAAACGTAGCCTCTCTGAACCTCAGTTTTCTGATCTGTGAAATGGGCATAAGGAAAGTACAGGGTATATAAGGGAGAAATTAATTTAAAAATATATGAGAGAAATTATATGTATATTTAACACCTGGAGCTACACAATGGCAGTTGCTATCATCCATTATTTACTTATTGGTTGGAAAATAGGATTATAGTGATTTAAAAAGTTGTCCAGCTATTCAGCAGTCAGTAACTAAGCAGTTAGCCCACTTCTAAACTCTGTAAACCAAGAGGAAAGTTACCCGTTGTAGTTTAACTTCTTAGATTAATGGGAATGCTGGTAGAAAACATTAAATATAGGAACAAATGTGCAGAGAAAGGCTTTTTCAAATAGCGCAGCTGTCAGATACCTGCACAGACTGCTTATCCTGGGTGGGTTCTGAAGTATGGGGTATTTTATTACACAGAGTAACAGTATGTCATTGTTGACCAAACGTGTGTTCCTGCTTCTGCACCACTGTCCTGAGCTCTGACAGTGTGAGATTTAGGCAATGGTGGGAAAAATGGAACCCAGTCTGGCTTTTCCTGAGCCTTGCTTGCATCTTACGCACTGCAGGCAGGGTGCTTGACACTGAGTACTCCTTTCAGCCTGTGCCCATACGATGCTGCTGTTATTATCCCCTTTTCCAGTGAGGAAACTGAGGCATAGGTCAGTTAATAGGTGCCAGGACTCAACGTCCTGTTTCCAAACCCATATTCTGCTACCTGCCATAGGTGGACTGTATTTATTTTGTCAGTATTTTGTTTTGTTTTTTCACATTTTGAAGGTATATCAGAAAACCAAATAACCCTTAGTTATTATTTTGTTAATTAAATTAACAAAAACAGATCCTTGAGAATTTTGCGGGGGGGGAGATTAGCTTTTTTTTTTTTTTTTTTTTTTTTTTG